GCCTTTTGTGAGGTAGTTAGAGCACAGGCACCAGAGTTCCCAGCCAGAGCCGCACTGGAAGGCTTCTAACTGCACCAACAGATCCCATTGGACAACCCAGAACCACACTGGTTCACCAATAACCCCACAAGACCTCCTGGTAATCTACCAGGTGTCACAGTTTACCTTGGTTGAGTCTGTAGCGCAGATATGTTGGCTCACCCTAGCAGATAAACACGGTCTGGCACCTGTGGGGCAACTACGCCTGGTCGTTTGGATTTCACAGTGAGAATTGTGACACCATGGACCCCACTAACACATGAAGTACCTTACCAGATCACAAAGGACCCCACTGGACTGCCAGGGAATCTTTTAGAGACCCCCTGGACCACCAGGGACCCTAATAGAGCATAATGGGTCTCTCTCAGACTACGAGTACGGTACACACTGTACTGCCAAGGGATGTATTATTGACCCCCTTCCTGCCCAGGAAGTAATATAGAATGTGATGGCAGCTAAAAAACATTTGGCCCATCTAGTCTTCCCAATTTTCTAAATACTTTTATTAGTCCCTATCCTTATCTAAAGTCTAGGATAGCCTTATGCCTATCCCATGCATACTTAAACTCACTCACTGCGTTAACCTCTATCACATGCATCCACTATCCTCTCTGCAAAGTAATACTTCCTGAAATTATTTTTAAACCTTTGCCCCTCTAATTTAAGACTATGTCCTCTTGTTGTGGTAGTTTTTCTTCTTTTAAATATAGTCTCCTCCTTTACTGTGTTGATTCCCTTTATTTATTTGATTGGTTCTATCATATTCCCCTGTCTCGTCTTTCCTCCAAGCTATACATGTTAAGATCCTTTAGCCATTCCTGGTAAGTTTTATCCTGCAATCCATGAATCAATTTAAAAGTAAACAGCAGAGTGGAGAAATGTAATTTAAAAATAAAATAAAATGCATTACTATGTGGGAAGACACACACTCAATCCCCATACACTAGCAACCTTTCACTCAATCTGCTACAACTACTCACCCCCTAATCTTGTCACACTCACCATGCTACCACACTAACCCTGTAATATGCATCCCTCAACCCTGGCACACTTACAAGCCCTCACTCTGTTAAACTCACCCCCAAAACACTCACCTTCCTCATCCTGCTACACACACTTCTTCACCTGCCATAGTCACCCCCTACTCTCCCTATCAAAGTCACCATCTGAAGATAGTCATCGCTATGCACAGTCACCTCTGACACACATAGGCGTGCGCACGGGGTGTGCCGGGTGTGCCTGGGCACACCCTAATCCCCGCGGCACGCCTATGCATATTGAGACCGGCATGGGAGATCTCAGGATCTCCCCTGTCGGCTCATGCAGAGCCGGCACTATCCGAGCGTCGGCTCTGCTCTCAGCCTCCCTCCCCACTGACCCACATGCAGGGAGGGAGGCAGGAGAGGACCGGGGGAGCTATTGCCGGCAGCTCCGCCGGGTTCCTCTCGCGAGATATGAGCGTTGCCACGGCAACGCTCAAATCTCGCGAGAGTGAACTCTAGCCCCACAGGGGGCTAGAGTTCACTCTCCACTGGACCACCAGGGATCACAGCAGCACTATCCCCCCTCCCTACAAAAGGTAAGAAGGGAGGGGGGATAGAAAGTAATCCACCTCCACCCCCACAATCACCCAACCACATACAGCACACACATACAGCACACACACATACAGCACACACACCCACACATACAGCACCCACACACATACACAGCACCCACAGACATACACTGCACCCACAGACATACACTGCACCCACACACATACAGCACCCATAGACATACACAGCACCCACAGACATACACAGCACCCACAGACATACACTGCACCCACACACATACAGCACCCACAGACATACACAGCACCCACAGACATACACAGCACCCACACACATACACAGCACCCACACACATACAGCACCCACAGACATTCAGCACCCACACACATACACAGCACCTACACACATTCAGCACCCACAGACATACACAGCACCACACACATTCAGCACCCACACACATACAGCACCCTCACAAACACACACAGCACCCTCACACACAGCACACAAACAGCACCCTCACACACACACAGCACACTAACAGTACCCCCACAAACACAAACAGGACATTAACAAACACACACACAGCACACTACCAGTACCCTCACACACAAACAGCACCCTCACAAGCGCACACACACACACAAACAGCACCCTCACACACAGTACATTAACAGCATCCTCACAAGCACGCACACACAAACACCCTCACCCACATAGCACACTACCAGCACCGTCACACACATATCACACTAACAGCACCCTCACACAGCACACACACACACACACAGCAGTGTGTGTAGTGTGTGTATGTGTGTATATATGTGTATGTGTGTATATA